ATATTTCACTTCAGACAAAACATGGATAATTAACTCTATACCGAGTTCAGTGTTTGTCTGAGAAATGTGTTATTTCTAATGAGGCTGTTTCTTACACTATCAGAGACACTCTTGTAGTTTCATTAGTGAACAAACCTCTGCATGTTAATAATCAAAGCATATTAATAACCATCTGAGTCACAAAGTAAAGAAAAGCTGAAGGGCTGTGACCAACAACAAAACCACCTATTATCATCACCTATTCTGCTGAAGTATCAAATACACTGTCACAGCGACATGTAAAAACACTTCAAATTTTGCAAAATCATGATTTGAAAATTGGAAAATGCCAGAATTTAAGATAGTCTCTGGAGCTGTGCTGTATTCTCCACGCATATGCAGCTCATAATCTCTCAGCCCTTTTTTCCATTGGACCCTTTTTAAGTGCCAAGGGTGAGCAGTTCTCACAAAACACTGCTCAGAACCATCTGATACACTTTTTATGCTGTCTGTGGCACCATTTTTATTTGTTTGGCACTGTTCAAACCATCTCAGAAGAGAAATAGTTCCTGCATTGACTTTTCTGCCTCATTTATCACTACTGTCTCTGAGGGCTTCACAATGACTAATTAATTTAACATCACAAACTCTTGCAAGATAAGGGCTGCATTTAATTGAGGCACAGAGAGATGAAGGTCAAAAGTATCCTCTCACTTGGAGGTGCACTGTTGAGATGCTCTGAACATGGTGTTTAGAGACATAATAAAGCTCTTCATGTTCAAATTAAAGATCATTATTCATTCAGTTGCAATAAATAGCGCTCAGCATTTCTGTCAATCAGAACATTAGCTCAGGACAGACACCTCAAAAATAAGAAATTAATGACTATGAAAAATTTGGTTGAAGTGCCTTGCTTAATGAGAGCAAGGCAGGAAACCTTGATAGTCAGAACTATAATGTGATTTTCTGAGGCAACATTTAACATTTCAGTGTGTTTTCTGTTCCAACAGCTTCATTTTCAAAGATTACTGCTTCCAAGCTCAAGAAGAGTCCATTTCTGTGAGCAGGAAATCAAGCAAAGGCAGCAGGAGACCTGCATGGGTGAAAGAGGAGCTCCTGACTAAACTCAACCATAGAGGAAATGCATGCGGGATATGGAAGCAGAGTCAGTTGACCCAGGAGGAAAACAGAGACACTGTCCAAACTTGCAGGGTTGGAGTTAGGAAAGCCAAAGCCCACAAGATTTGAATCTGATGAGTGGCATGAGTGCTACCAGAAGGGTTTTCACAAATACACCAGCACAGACGGAAAGCAAGAGAAAACATGGGCCCACTGCTGAACACAGCCAGGGCACTTGGTGACAAAGTACATGGAAAAGGCTGCTGCCCTCAGTAACCTTCTTTGCCTCAGTCTGCACTGGTAAGACCATCCTTTGGGAATCCCAAGTGCCTGAGACCCCTGGGAAAGTCCGAAGCAAGGTAGACTCAACCTTTGTGGAAGAGGATTAGGTTACGGAGCATTTAAACAAATTGGATGTGCAGAAGTCCATGGGACCTGACATGGGACCATGAGTGCCAAGGGACCAGGTAATGTCATTGCAAGGCCACTGTCTATAATCTTTGAAAGATTATGGTGATCAGGAGAGGTTCCTGAGGACTGGAAGAGAGTAAATGTCACTTCTTTCTTCAAGAAGGAGGATTCACAGGACCACAGGCTAGTTAGCCTCATCACGATCCATGGGAAGGTAATGGATCAAGTCCTCCTGGAAATCACTTCCAAAGCTTGCCCTGTCCCTCCAAAAATTTTCTTCCTCAGCTTTTGTTTCCTTGTTCAGTTCCATCTCTTTCAGCTCACTTTTCAGGACTCCCGTTTAAACTCATCTCTGTAATTAACTTTAATGCACACACACCTCACTGATCAGTACCTCGCCTTCCTCCATCTTCCAAAGCTGTCATTTCCTTGCCCAGTAACTGGCTCCAAATTAGTTCCTTCCCTTGGGTTTCTGCATTTCTCCATCCCCACTGCTATTTCCTGTGCCCTCTTCCCACCTATTTGTTGAGCTAGACGAAACGTTTTTTAAGGGCTGAACTGCTCTGTCTGGGACTTTCTCTAGCTAAAACTTAGTAGCCTGAAGCAGACAGCACAGAAAATACAACTCACAAGGTTGAAGCTTCTCAGTGCTTGCAACTGAAAATCTGCTCTTATAAAGCAGTGTAAAGCAACCTTAATAAGAGACAGACCTACTGACATGCCAACAGCATATCTCTTTAATAATGTCCAGTATTCCTAAATTCTGTCCCAAGAGGAATTTAGCACATTGTCCATTATAGCACAAAGTAGCATCTATTCTAACCATACATTTAAAGCATCTGATAAAAAAGCAGAGATTTTTCCAGGAAATACATTAACATACTCAAAGAAAACTTTAAGCATTCAAAGACTTAAACTGTAATGCGCATCATTAAGTTTCTCTAATTCTAATGACTGAGATACTGAAAACCAAAACGTGGAAACAAATACTGCCCGAAAATTAGTAACATACATTTTGCCTGCAGAAACACATACAAATCCCACTAATATCAGTGCAGAGTTCATTGAGGTCATTATATGGAGCTCACATGTGTAACCATAGTTGTATTAAGACAGTACTTGTGTGAAGAAAATTAGCTACCAACCTAAGAAATATAAATTATTAAATTATTACTGTTTGTGAAAGCAATCAATTAATTTAAAAAAAAATCATAAAGACACAATGATTTTTTGGAAAGAAGACAGCAAATTTACAGCTGAAATTATTTCCGTGGTCTTGTTCACGTGTAATCACATATATAAATAATAAATGATGTGTTAGTGACAAAAGAAGGTTTTCAGGGTGTTGTTCAATGGCTGACAAAGATGAAGTCAACTGAAATGAATTTTTAACCAGGGGATAAATCTTTCTTGAACGCTTTATAAAGGAACCTTATAAATTTAGACCAAAAGCCTGGATTGATTTTATGTACTCTGGACCTTACTTTGGCTTCTGATCACAAGAAAACTGGTGTAAATCTGGAAGACCTCCTGTGAAACCAGCTAAGTCTATCTGAATTTATGCTTTTAAATCCAAAAGAAGAATTGAACCCAAGGCTCCCCAGCCAGCTTTATTGAGCAAGAGCCATTTGGTCTGGCTGCAGGGTGGAGAGGCTGTGGCACTTGGCCAGCTTTCCTCCCCTATAAGCGATGTCAGACCAGTCAGTAGATCCCTTTGGGCATTAGACATCATGGGAAAGAGCCAGACTTACTTCTGAATAGTAACTGGAAGAGGGAGCCAGCTGGCAGCTCTTTCAGAAGGCTCAGAGGAGCTGGCCACCACCAAAACAAGTTGGCCTCTTGTTTCGAGGCTGTTGTGACTTGCCCTCAATCCTCATTCTTTCAGTAACATAATATAATGTAATTTATGGCCACAAAAAGTGTAACAAGAAAGGAAAAGATGAAAAATACTATGCTAAATACAACCACCCATACACTTGAAAACGTAAACATGAAACTATTCCCTAGGTATGTAATTACAGGCAGCTTCAAAGTGGGAAAGGCACAGTTTTAGCAAATACATCTTATTTTGTATATGCTGCTTTTGCCTGAAGGACAGTCTGGTTTTCCACAGGAGCACAGCAAACTGCTTTTAAAAGGATCATCAACCAGAGTTTGTGGTTAATCACTTGGAGCTCCCATGAGACATAAAGAACATGACATGGAAAAGAAAATAAAGATGCAAAAGCCAGTGTTGCACATCTCCAGCATGCTCCTCTGCCCTTCCCAAGCTCCTGAAGGATGGTGTGCCAAGCCACACACTGCAGTGGTGGTCAGCAGGAGAAACCATCCTCTGACACATTCCCCCTTCCCAGCTCTGTGAAATTACTATTGAAAAAACAGTAGGCTCCTACTCCATCGTGTCAGTACCATACACGGCACTAGAATAGCACCAACTGTTAATAAATGCCTTTAGCAGGCTCCCATCCCATTCACTGCTGCAGACCCCTTCTGGGAACTGCACTGGACTGCTGTGAATGTCTCCTCCTTCAGCCTCTGCTGTCAACCAGATCCCGAAGTCCTGTCTCTGGAGAGAGACACAGGTGTAAACCCTGGCCCTCATGTAGCCCCATGTCTCCCTCCACCCACCTACACTGGCAGAACCAGTCCATAATCTCTCACTAGCACATTCCCCTTTGTGGGAAGCAACATTACCTGGGGTGCCCACTGCTCCTGCTGAGCCCAGTGAGCACTGCAGAGTGGCCTCTCCCTGTGGAAGCTCCAGCATTTGCAGTGTGGAGTTTCCCTTCACACTCTGAACCACCGCCTTCTTCTAATGGCCTTAATCCTCTCCCAGTAGAAGGGAAAGGCATTCTGTAAGGTGGGCTGTCAGGGCTTCCTTCCCCAGTTTGTAAAATCATCAGTATATTGTTACTAGCAGCCCCAGTCTGTTTTTCAGAGCTCTGGTAGAGGAAAAGTGAACAGGAGGGCAATGGCTGTTCTACTGTCCCAGTTTTCTGCCTTGGGCAATGGCCTCCTTTGGCTCTTCCATGCAAGAGCCACCTGAAAGCAAGCACTGATTGAAAGTTTCCTGTATAAATATCCAGGCAACTTTTTATCATTGTTTTATTTTCTAAAACATTTTCATCTCAAATAAAAAAGCCCAAGAAGATGAGTACCAACTACTTCTGTCAGGTGTTCCTGCCTGTGGTGGAGGGTTGGAAATAGATGAGCTTTAAGTCTCAAACCATTCTATGGTTCTATGACCAATACCTGAAATGTTTGACTTGTGTGCTGTTTCTTAGCAACTTTCACTTTCTAATACATGTTAGCCTGTTTATGGGGGAGAGCAGATCCTTCTTCTGTTGCTAGTCTTTGTATTAGCTAAAAGGATACCTTGGCCAAAAGATAGGAGTAGACCTACTAGATTCATTGTGGGTGGAAGAATATATTCATAGTTCCAATTTAGAGAGCTTTCTTATTTAACTTTTCTCAACTTTTTTCTTAGATAAATGGAGAAGTCCAGAATGCCAGTGAGAACACAATAAAAAAACTCTGGTAGCATAAGGATGAGCTGAGACCAACTCTCATTTGCACTCCAGTGTTCATCTGGAGACAACACAAATGAGACTCAGGAACAGAGCCCAAGTATGCCTCTGTAAGTAATTTATTTAAACTTCCCTTGACTGTAGCAGACCATTTTACCTCTGGCATGTAGTTTTTGGTGCCCGACTTCCTAAATATTCATGTTCTGCATTTATTATCTCCAACCATCTGATGTGTCCTGGTTTCAGTTGAGATAGGGTTTATTTTTTCTTAATAGCTGTTGCAGTGCTGTATTTTGGCTTTAGTCTGAGAACAATGCTGGTAACATACCAACGGTTTAGTTGTTGCTGAGAAGTGCTTACCCTAATCAAGGACTTTTCACAGAATCATAGAATCAGCTAGGTTGGAAAAGACCTTTAAGATCATGAAGTCCAACCTTTAAAACCTTTTCAGTCTCCCATGCTCTGCCAGTGAGGGAGCAGAGACAGGACACCTGACCCGAACTAGCCAAAGGGATATTCCATATCACAGAGCATCATGGACAGTATAGAAACTGGGGGAATAAGCCAGGAGGGGCTGATCACTGGTCGAGGACAGGGCGTGCATCAGCCAGCAGGTGATGAGCAGCTGCATTGTGCATCACCTGTGTTTCTTGGGGTTTAATACTCTTTTTCCTGTTGATATTATTTTGGTTTGATTATCTCAATTGTTTGAATTATTAAACTGTTCTTGTCTCAACCCATGGGTTTTACCTTTTCAAACCCTGCTCCCCATACCATTAGGATAGTTCAACCCTATTAGCTGCCAGCTGCGATTGAATCACACCATGATGTTTGTTTTCAAATTACCATGGGGGTTTATGTTGCTGCATTTTATTTGTCTGATGATTGGAACCAAAGGAATTAACTTGAAACCAATTGAAACTATTTTTGTGGATTGTGAAATAGAAACAATAAAACTTCACTTTATTCATGTTAGGAAGGCTTACCCAGTCATTTTACGTCAAACATTTTAATGTAGCAAATGGAGTTTGACAAGAATCAGTTTCTTGGCATAGTGTAGCACTTCTCTCTTTCAAACATTTGTTTCCATTCCTTCATATTTTTCCACTTTTTGTGTGTGACAGTAGAGCAACGTCAATGTTTTGCATTTCTGAGAAGGGGATCATATTATTTTATATTATTACCCCAAGACAGTATTTGCACAAAGGACCTAAGGGTAACTTTTACTAGCAGATAAAATCAGTAATGACAAATGAACTGCAGGGCTGAAATGCAGAAAACTGTAGAGGTGATGAAGGAAAAAACCCTAATGTTACATGAGAGAATTCAGTGGTAGTATGAATTAGTGTGAATCTGTACATGATAGTTGGGTAAAATCTGTTCTGATGTACAAGTGCATTGTCATGTAAACAGGAAAACCTACTGTAGTGAAATATAACAACATAGGTAAACAAGAGAGTGTTACAATAACACATAGATTTCTTCATTCAACATGCGTAAATGTGATGTGTTTTTATGTAATATTTGCTATTTATCAACTTTTTTTGTTGATTGTTGACGTTTTTGATTCTTTATCTTAAGAATAGGTTGAATTGTTTTCAGTAGCTGAAATGCTAATGATCCTCAGATGATGCATAAATTGGAAAATATAGTCTTTTCCTTATGCCACATGGTGTTTGATACACAGAGTTGCTTCTATGACCATTTAAAAAAGAAAAGGTTCAAAGCAATTTTTTGCTCATCAGGTTTCTCAGCCTTTTTTTATGCTGATGAGTGAAGACTTAGCTCCTCTGCAGGACTGGATTCAGAGCCAGCTGCAGTCATTACCATGACTCCATGGCTGTAACAGGCCACAGACAAGGGCCCATAGTGTTAAGCTGGGGATGCAGAAACCCTGTTGCTCCAACGGGAGCTTAGGGGCCTCATCTCATACAGGGATACTTTCTTGCATTCGCTTAGAAAGGGTACTGCATGTACTTCCTTAGTGCCTGGGAAGCTCTCCTATCTACTTTGTCTTAAGAACAGTGAAAGAATAATGTTCTGAGTAGGGGGGTGAGGAGCAGCAGAGACGTGCCAGGTTTGTAAGTTCTGCTGGTTGCTTCTCAAAGACCCCTGCTGAGCAAGGGATAGGTTACCTGCCTTCATTTCTTTTTACATTCTACAAGTAAAATTTCCAATACGTTATAGCAGCCTTCCAGTACCTAAAGGGGCTACAAGAAACCTGGAGAGGGGCTTTGGACAAGGGCCTGTAGGGACAGGACAAGGGGGAATGGCTTTAACCTGACAGAGGGGAGACTGAGATGAGCTCTTAGGCAGAAGCTCTTCCCTGTGAGGGTGCTGAGGCACTGGCACAGGGTGCCCAGAGAAGCTGTGGCTGCCCCATCCCTGGCAGTGTTCAAGGCCAGGTTGGATGGGGCTTGGAGCAACCTGGTGTAGTGGAAGGTGACCCTGCCCGTGGCAGGGAGTTGGAACTGGATGAGCTTTAAGGTCCCTTCCAACCCAAACCAGTCTGGAATTCTATGATTCTATGATAAAACAAATAAATTTCTTTAACAAACTCTAGATTAACACCAATCTGTAGATTAACAATTTAGTAAGAAGAAATCAGTGTTTCATATGACTAAGACATGAGTTATCTTGTCCATGTTCCTCACACTCCTGCTTTACATTGTTTTACTGAATTTGCTTAATAGCAGTCCCTAGTACTGACTGAAAAACCTGCAAGGTATAAGATATACATGCCTGTTATTATGCTAAAGAGGCAAAAAGTGTGAGAGATTCCTTTGCTTGTGTTTTTGAAAACATGTCTGTTGTAATACAGAGCATGAACTGGCTTTTAGAACAGCCAGACTCACCAGCTCTGCTAATTCTGCTTGGGAGGAGTTGTATTCGAGACTCAGTTTGTAAGAGGTGCTGTCAGAAACAGTTGTTCTTCAGGTAGATTAACGTGGAAACATGGCCCGTTATTCTACCATAAAACAGTCTTCTCTGGCATGTACGTCCTTTGAACTAGTTAAACTTTAGTCACAACAACAAAGGAACTAAATTAAATACATGTTTTTTCTTTTTTATTTTTGTTCTGTAAGGGAATACATAAAATATTTCAAACACAACATATTCCTACAGATACCAATTTACAGATTCTTTAAAATGTCGAGATTATAAAAAAGTGACACATATATATTCTCTAATTTTGTCAAATACGTACATTTTGAGCATAAGTTTCCAGTTTCCAGATCTTCCCATTATTCTTGAATAAATACTGTAAAGGTCAAATAAAACAGCCCAAACATCTGGGGTATTACATTACTTCTACTCTATACAATTGTTTATATACATGTCTTTTTAATTTCTACTTATCTTTTCTCCTGTTCCATCAAACTTCATCTCTGGTAGGGTATTATCTTATATTCACTCTTACTTTAGTAGTTTTGTATTGCAAAGCCTGTGCCAAAGCATAATCCTTATATCCAAGTGGATTCTGAATTTTACACCTATATTTAATTCTGAAAAGTCTACAAAATTATAGGGTTTCTTGTATTGTTTTTTTAAGACACTGAAAATGTCTTATTAACATAAGCACATTACTTGTGCTATTAATGTACAGAAAATCACAGTCTGAGGAATACCTATTCTTGGGATTTGCTCAATACCAACAGTTATGTCTCCTAGGAAAGACATACTTCAGCAAAGGGAATATATATTCCAAATGGGGAGGAGAGGAGAGAAGACAAGAAAGGGAGAGTTTTGAAACCAAATTTATTTTTAAACCAAATAAATACATTAAAGTAGACACAGCCTGGAGTATCCTATTGTAAGAACTAAAAGCATGCGTAGTTTCTTTAATGTATAGTTCTAAGTTATTGTTATTATGATGTTACTAAATGCCTCCGAGTATCTAAAATGTATTTGTTCTAAGCAAGTATTCCAAAGCTTCATATGTTGCTGCTTGATGGACATGTTCTAGATTTACTATGTGGACTTCTGTTTGCAACTATAACAGTATGCAGGAAATACATATGTCAGTGAATGCATAGAACTATTAAGAATTTAAACTGCATTAAAAAATCGAAACCTCATAGGTCAACATCTGCTGCTTGATAAAACACAAACCAGCAAAACCATGAGTAATGTAATAATTGATTGCATATAGCTTCAAAAATCTAATTCCTGAAGATAGAAAAGCAATGAACACTAGTCAATGGCATTACTTTCCATGGCAGATGTGGTATTGATTTCTAGCCATCAGTCAAAGTGGTGAAAGCGATGCCAAAGAATTATTCTTCCCAAAGTGTAGTTAGTCTGTCAACTCCAAGGTACGCTCCAAAGTTCTGTTGTTCAGTATACATTCTTCCATTGCCAAGCTGTACAAATAGCTTTATTTTCTAATACTCATTTTCATTTTCTTTAGTTGTAAGACATTTAACTAGCAGATGTCTCCATCTCATCTCCTTCCCCATCTAGCTGAAGTCATAAATTAACTCTCATGTGAAACCTAAAGAGATGTAAGAGAATTTTTCAGATGCATTTTGGGGTTTTTTTCCTCAACAATGAAGTTACTTTAAGTAGAACAAAAGAATTCTTGAAAAAAAGAGCCTTTGCATTTTTATTTAGACAAATACTGGGGGTGCCTATGTTTGGAATTAAATCCTTAAGGATACTCTGCTGGATAAACATGCTTCTCCAAAGAAATGGAACTAGATGTCTTGTGTATATTAGTCACCTGTGGACAGCATTCCTTTCACTAGTTTTGATCAATGTGCCACTGTATCCTGGTGAGATTAATGAACTGTGAAAGATATGTGGACACTCTTTCTTCATTTCAAAGACAGAGTGTGAAGAATAAATGTAACATTTAGATGGTCTATTTTGTCAGGATCCAATTGACTGTTTCAGCCTTTACAAAGCCTGTGGGGTCTTTATTTGCTTGTTTTATAGGTGGTTTTGGAGCTTGTATTGTTTAGGCACTAGTTATGTTGGCCAAGAGCAACTGCGAGCTATTATTTCAACAAGCAATGGAAACTTAAGCTGCATGAGCTGATTAGATTTGTGTTAGCTCCAGGTAATGGTATGAGGTTTTAGAGATGCTTCGAAATGACAAAGTTATTGTAATATGTTTTTTTCTGAGAGTTGCTATAAAGCATGAGTAAAACAGAAGAGTGAAAGGTAAAGAAGAAAACCCTAAAGTTGAAAAGAACTAAAAAAAAAAATAAAATCTGGATGTAGATGTAGCTTTTCTGTTACATTGCAATCATAAAGAAAATTTTGCTTGCCATCAGTGAATTCTAGGTCTGATACTATTTCTAAGTTTGATTTCCATTTGTAAATCTTGGCTTACGTGGGGCTTTTTACCGTTGAAATCATTCACAATGCCATTTCCAGTAATTACAGTCAAAACTATGACTGTCAGCTACAGAGAATTAAGTTCACTGAATGGCTAGGGAATGCATCTAACAATTGTTCCTAATGTGTGTGACTGATAGAAGGTTCTATTCCTACTGATTTTAAAGTAGTGCAAGCACTGATGTGCTGTTGTTCAGGAACAACTAATAAGAAATAATTTTTAGCTGATACTATTAAAAAAACCCACCTCATTTCTGTTGCTTTCTAATTTACTATACTACTTCAATCTCTCTGTGTAGACTTACTTTACATTCTGAAGTATGTAAGCTATACAAACCTGGAGACTGGAATGGTGCTTCTCTCTATGATCAGTAGTATAAAATACACCAATAAGCAAAAATTGCTCTTTTATGTAATAATTATTCATTGTTCTACATGAGCTAGCCATGTATTGTAAGTTTAGTTGTAACTAGAAAAGCTTTTGTATTTGAAAACTCAACACATCCATATGGTACTACATGTTACTAGTAGAAAGAGTACAAACTCAGCAACTTAGGATGCCGAGTTACTCATCTGCTCTGAGCTGGTGGATGTGGGTCTCACACAGGCATATGTTTACTATTACAGTATGCAAAGACCAGTCCAAATACTTTCTTTTCCAAAAGCTGCATCACAAAATTTTGGTCCACAGATCTACTTAATCCAGCTCTTTCCCAAAGTTCTGGCAGATTCAATTATGCCGGAGCGAGGCAATCGATCAAATATTGCAAACAGCAGAACAGGAGAGAGTCCCTTTAAGCAGGAAGAAAGCTTTCCCTTTTTCATCAGAGCCCAGATCTCCAGCAATCAATTCAATATAGTTAAAATAATTTGATATTTATCAGTGTTTTTTAAATTCTTACAGTTTAGCTGCATCTGATGATGATCAACCAGAAATCACATTGCACACATCACAGCCAGGGAAGAGGTTTAAAGTCACCATACACAAGACCAATGGCCAGCACCATAATTGAAGGCCTTCAGATTTAAAAATTCAGTATATTTGTAAGTTCTCTTCCTCAACAATCAGCAATGTATAACTATGGAGTCCGTGGCATACAAATTTTGAAAGCCTGTCCTGAATTATCTTATATGTGTAATGGTGCACTCCAAGGTCACTTTGTTCCATAGTGGTGTCAAGGTCCTCAGAACAGATATTTTCTCTGGTAGAAAAGCTGAGAGGAGGAGTCAATCTGTTTGAAAGCTGGTCTTTATCAAGCTTTAAATAGCATGGGATTTCTTTTTCTAGGATATTCTGACAAACTTTTTTTTATTTACATTTTTCCTAACTAAAATCCTGATGTTAAAAAGATCACAATTGTCAAATTAGAAATACTTTTGCTTTGCATAGTTTTAGGATAGTTTGCCAGATCAGGTTGAACCTGCCTTTTTTCCCCAGCTGAAACCCCTGGGCCAATTTTTTTGCTCTCATCTACAATGTATTTAGCAAAATAGAATATATGTCACTTAGTCGTAGGTATGAGCAGTACCTGATGATTCAGAGGTAGCTAGAACCTGGAAAATAACTGCACTCACTGCAAAGCTGCCACAATCAAGTTTTCACTTGGTTGTTCTATGCTAATATAGTCTTAATTGTCCATAATAAACAGTTAATTGTCACATAATAAATAATTGCCACAGAAGTGAAAATTTGGCTCTTACTAAAACAAGGGCAAAATTCTTACTAGCTGCAGCAGAGCTGGGTTTTCAGGTGAAGTGAGTAGAAGTCCAGTCCAGTGGTGCTGCTGATGCCCTTGGGGACTGCTTGGGAATAGTGTGAAGAACTCCAAATGGCTCTGTCTAAAAAAAAATGCTACTTTCTCACCCATGTCTGTCCCACAGCATGTTCTTTGTTATCATCTGTGAATCACCAAACCTTTATAGTCCTTTGTGACTATATGGTGTAGTTATAAATAACTCTTAACACTTGCATTTTAAACAGAAGGTGATTTACAACGTGCTGCTCACTCTGACAGCTGTTACTACAGCGTAGACAGATTACTTGCTTTATTTTTAAGTTTATTTTAATTACAGAAAGACCCACGTTGAAATACTATAGTCATCTCTTTTGTACCAGGACTGCAAACCAGTGGTAAATAACAGTATGAGCAACATTTTCGGTTTACAGAGAGTGCTGGCCTTCACAAAGGTCACTGGGTTTCAAGTACCAAATTTTCACCAGGCTCTTTTTAGCAGGTGAATCAACTTACAGTTGGTTAGACTTCTATTAAAAATGTATAGAATATTTAGAAAGACCCATTTAAAATACGATGAACTGAAGTCCAGCCTTTCCAAGGAGAAATTTGCCCAGCAGCCCAGGACCAAGGACTGTACTCAAGTACTAATACCACTAAGTTTTTCTTAAAGGAAAAATTGCGGTCTCCAACAAGAACAGTTCTGCATTTGTCCTTCAAATGCTTCTTTTGGGAAACAATGAGTCACATCTATGACAGCAAACAGTGAAATGCATCAAAACTTTGTAATTCAATACTGTAGAAATTGCTGTATGGAAATAAGGAACTGTCCACAGATATTGTTTTATGGATTAAGCAGGTGAATTGGAAGAATTTGAATTTCTGGGGGGCTTCCCAATGTCAAGGTGACAACTGCCACAAGTAGTAATTCAGAGAACTCTTATGCAAATACTATGAAGTCCCTTACATCACCAGAATGATTCAGAATGTTACATGACCGTAACTCTGACCATGTATGATAGTTATGAGACTAAGTTTTGAATAGTCTTCGAATTATTTAGATCTCTAGAAGATCCTTACTTACACTAAATATTAGAACCTTTTTAGCAGTCAGAAGTTACATTCCTTCATGGATATGTGATTGTAATAACCTATCAGATATGATAGGTACTCCAAAAATAGTAATAAAAGTCAACTTTGTTATATGCACTGTAATACTTTGCACTCTGCTTTCTAAAATAGGTCAGAGAATCTCTGCTCAATTTTGAATAGTAAAGCTTACTAGAAAGTGCCTTACTTATCTGAGGTGGTAGGACTTTCGAAACAAAAATTACACAATGGTAGTCTCAGACAGTATTTTCAGTGTCTCTGTATTTGGGTAAATTTTGTCATGAAGTAATTTTTACAGTTGAATAGCATAGCAAGGTGATGTATATGTTCTGTATTCAGACTTCAGGCTGTAGGAAGTTCATTGCTATAGCATCGCTATAGTTTTACTTGTATATTAATGTTCTTATGGAAAGCTTTGCCAGGTCTATCAGTCTCTCAAAACCACTATAGCCCATCAGGGCTGACTTTTTCATCATATTCCCTCTGCTGCTTTGTAGGAATGGTCATTATAAATCACTCTCTGCCCAAACATAGATACAGATGGAACTGGTTAATTACCACTTGTCTGCTCTGAGAATGAATATCAATGCAATATAGCTAAGCAATACCAATCTCTAGTAACCATCTGGAACAAGCTGTATCTCCTTGCCCAGGAGAGGCAAAAGTTTTAGAAGCCCTTGAGGCATGTGGCCCTCTCTGGGTTGCCTACAGTTACAACCGGCTGACACAAAACAGAAGAACAAGAATGGGGTCTTCTGCAGGGCCTGTATTACTTACCCCTTTTATAAAGTGCTGAATGGTATTTCGTGGTAGAATGTAACTGCCAAACTTAGTATTTCATGAAGACAAGCAATGCCATTGAAGGTCATAGCAACTCCAGGACCAGCAGAAGAAACAAAGAACTTGCTAAAAGCCTAGGCATGATCTTGGGTGGACTTAAGAGAAGCAAAGAAATGTTGAAGACCACCACATGGATGCAAAAGATGGGGGGTTTTCCTAATTCTAGATTTGCTTATTGAAAGATGTGGTTTAGTATTACACACTCTGATAAACCTGTAGGTTTCTGGGGATCCAAACTGGATTTTATATGGCAGATATAGTAGCTGTGAGCTCACCAAATCCTGACAGATGTAAGTATCTCCAAATGAGAGAAATGCTTGCCAGCACACAGCTGCTCAGAATCACAATTTTACTGCACAGTTTTGAGGGGTTTCTGCTCACTGCAGAGAGTTGCAATTCTTTCTTTTTGAAACTGTAGCCGTTAGCAGTAAGGTAGCATTAGGGTGCTCCCCGTAAAAAAACTCCCTTTGCTATCAGGCTGGCAGTCAAGCCTGAGCCAGAGCCTGGAGAAAGGACATATGACTATTGACGGGATTCTATTGATGGAAAAGACACATCTCTATTGGTGGAATTCTTTTTTGAATCTCCAAATAAAAGTATTTTTATTGTCTTTTAAATAAATTTTAAGTGTTCTTCTTAAATAAAGCAAATTCCTTATTGTTTCTACTGCTGAGCAAATTTAAACCAAATAATTTCTCCTTATAAAGGGGATGATTTCTAAACCTTATTCACACCTTGCAAGGGCTTGCAAAGCCTAGCAGATTCATAGAACTGAACGCTGACATGTGAAAACCCCTTATTCATAGTCGTTTGAAGGACTGGTGTCTGAATCTTATTTTGGTACTAGATGATTTTTTTTTTCTCCTGAAAAGCTTAATAACTTCAGTAGACCTGGAAACTGCATTGTTCTCTTGACTATGAACTTCACCTCACAAGGAGTATGTTTTGTTACAGCTCACCATTTTCTGGGAAACTTCCCTGGCATCAGCCTCTTTATAAGCAGAAACAGGAATTTTCTGTCTCTCAGAATGCCGAGGGCTGAGGTAAGATCTGTTTTATTTCATAAATGGAAGATTGGATGAGTTTGTCTTAGCCAAAGAATTCTTGTTTAGGTCTATATTTAACAAAGTACTTCAACCACACAGCTAACATGAAGTTTTTGAGTCAGGCTGTTGGAAGCAAAGGAACTAAGAAACCTTAAAATGCTGCAAATGTGCATCTACCTCACAAAATCTGTGCCCAAAGACTTATTTTATTCTAATATTTCACTGGTTTGCTAAAAGCAGTCAAAAGTATAATTTGATCAGGAAAATGTCATATTTCGGTTTCAAATACGCAGCACTGAGGAAAGTGGAAGGCCTCTTCATATATGTCTTTGAGAACTGTAAACTGAGAGGTGGAGCAAAAGCAAGCAAAACTTTTTAAACATATATAGCCGATTTACTTCTTTCCCTGGAAGCAAATGCATCTAGCTTTACATGGTGCAATTCTAACTTCTTTGTATACAGGCTAGGACTTTTGCTAAGCAGGTTTATTGTTGGTTTATACTGTGTCAATAAAAATATGAAAAAGAGCAAGTTCAATCAAGAATCTATGAAGATTCATTCACAAAGGGAATGGAAACTACAGGTCATACAAGGAGAGGTAGAATCTCCCACCCCATGCTTGATTTTAATTTGTTTCCTTTTAAGGGTGTTGTCTTAAAAAGGATATTTAAAAGTCTCAACATTTTATTTAGCAAACATTTGAAAGGGAAGGAGCGTGTGTGTGTGGCAGGGGGAGCTTGCCGTAGTGGTTCATGGAGCACATGGCTTCTTAACAGGCATTGCTACATGTCTTGCCACTTCACATTGGCTGTAGGGAAGGGGTCCAGCTCCAGCTAAACCTGTCTTTAGAAACAACTGATGCACAGACCTTGTGCTGGCCATCAGCACAAGCCAGTGGTGCATGCCAATGCAGTGCCTACTTTTCTTTTTCACACAGAATCTGAGATTAATAGGAGTTTTGTTGAAGTGACATACAGCTGTACTAATAGATTAAGAGCAGGCCCTGCTGTTTATAGTGCCTTAAAATCGATCTCTTCTATGTTTAGAAGTTCAAAGAAAATTTTGCAGGTATCAGCAAGTAGGTGATAGATAAAGTATTTAATTTCAGGATCTGTTTGGGTTTTAGACTATTTCTGTGCTCCAATTCTACACAATGCAATTCTCTTCAGGCTTCCCTTCATGGGAAAGCATGACATCTATTAACTGGAGTGAAATAATGCAGGCACTTGAAAAAGGCAAATGATTAATTTCACCCTGGTCAAACCCTGTGAAACAGTGAGCACCAAAAGCCAACAGGAAGAAAGGATGGTTGGAACTTTCAGGGCTAGACCCCGTATCTTTTTCTAAAGAATTCCTTCCTGCTTTACGTGGTAACTCAGTGATGTACTTCACTCTTAATTCAGGGAATTTGTTTATTATGCAGAAAAAAGAAATGTAAGATTGCATCTGTTGGTAGACAGCTAGTGGCAACTCTGTCTTTTTAAGTGCAGTTGGAAGACCTATCTTGGCCCAAGGCTGGTAGATTGAAAATTTGCTGGCACATTTTTGTTCAGCAAATCAGACTCAGAATTTGGAACTGACCGTGGTGCTAGGTGTTTCCAAATAATTGATATAAATGAGTATCAAGATTCCTTTTCTTGGCAATCAAGAAATATAAAGGCAATTATTGTCTTTTTAAAGATGTAACAGTAATGGACTGTTTGCTCATAATTAAAGTGTCAAGGTCACCATAATCTGAATGGAAATCATACTGCCTCTGCCCTGCTGTCTCCACTGTTATAACTATTACTTCAAGTTCACGATGTTCTATATATTCCTTTGAAAAACCTCTACCTCTCTGAAAAAAGATCTTTAAGCCTGATAAGACCTTGAACTGCTTGCAAATCTAATGCGGTATTGAATTAGCTCTTTTGTCTCCTTTTTGCTGATGGGAAAGAATTATTTCTCCCTGAATGCCAAGGACAGTTCTGCAAAACTGGCTGAACAAATTAACCAATAAACCCAACCTGCATGCTTATCCTCAGTATAAAAACAAGTACAGTGAAAAATAGCTCTGTGTCTGTATACAGAAGCAGGGAGAGAGGAGAAAAAGGTGTTTTTTTTTCTTGGAAATTGTCTTTGTCATTTCTGAATAACTAATACTCAAAGAGAAAAGGAAAAATGTTGCCTTGAGAATAAAATAAAAGCAATTTAAATGCCAAATCCTAGTCAGAAAATCTCAGTGCTCTGAAGGCTGCATGGCTGACCTTCAGAGAAGCCAAGATGCAGTAAAAAGAGGAGAGAAGGGACTGAAGCAGGTTGGAGAAGGCTTGTTCAAAACTGTGGTAATGTCTGGGCGACTTGTTGTGATTGCCAGCCCCAGAGGGCAGTGGGAGCCATGCGGTGATCTACTGGTGTTAGAGCTGCTCCAAAATGGGAGATGTGCTGTCCCTGAGTTTGGTGCCTAACGTGCATGCATGCCTGGAGACGCTGTGTGCCACAGAGCCACAAAACTTGTACATAATATTCTGAAGTGATTAAAATTAACTTGGGATAATTTTTTATGCAATTGCAGTTACACTTGGTTGGCCGAAATCTGCTTGGACTTTGTGCTTAAGTGTGAGTCCTTCAGATAATCAAACTGTGACAGTAAATTAAACAGGGCCTCTGTCTTAGCCACAGTAACAGCAATCAGCACAGTCGTCCATCCTATTCCCTGGTTTGCAGTGTCTGAAGGTTTGGCATGGGGCTCAGCACAACCACGTGGGTCTGCACATGGCTTGGGTGACAGCACAGGACACACACTGTTCCCAGAACCCATATGGATAGTGCCACTGTTGGAGGTGTGAGAATAGTTACCTGCGTGGACATGGGCTCTGCCATACCATTTGACCTCAGGCCAGAAATTATTCCCAGCTCACTGTTTACTAGTTGTAGGCTTTAGGGCCTTGTCTGTTCTGCAAAATCTGGCTTTCCTGTTTGGCAGCTTCCCTGCATTATCCTGCCTCACATTCTCTACCACTTCAAACCACAATGAAATCCTGTTTACCAGTTACTAGTTGCTGTGGTTTAAGCCCAGACGGTAACTCAGAACCATGCAGCCTCACCCTTCTTCCCCACCTGCTCCAGGAGGGATGGGGAGGAGAATAGGAAGACTTTAAATCCCATGGGTTGAGATAAGAACTGTTCAGTAACTAGGGTACAGTGCAAAACTACTACTGCTACCACCAATAATAATAATATTAGGGGAAATAACAACGAGAGAGAATATAAAACTCAAAGGGAAAAGGAAAAGAAAACAATAAACACAAGCAATGCTCACCACCCACTGAATTATACCCAGCCCAACTTGAGCAGTGATTTGGACCTTCTGGGTAACTTCCCCCCAGTTTATATACTGGGCATGACACGCTGTGGTATGGAATACCTCTTTGGCTAGTTTGGGTCAGGTTTCCTGTCTCTACTTCATCCCAACTTCCCATGCCCCTCCTCACTGGCAGAGCAAAAGACTGAAAAGTCCTTGATTGGGGTAAACATTACTTAGCAGCAGCTAAAAACATTGGTGTGTTATCAGCACTGTTCTCAGACTAAAGTTGAGAACACAGCAGTGCACCAGCTACTAAGAAAGAGAAAAATAACTGCTACAGCTGAATCCAGAATACTAGTACATACAATATTTTTTAGGAACTTGAACCTAAATGTTTCAGCTCTCTCCCTGTGAAATTCTGCTGCATATTGAGAGCAATCGTTCTGTACCATGTGTAGGATGGTGCTCACTATTGCACTGGAGTGCCAAGAGAGGAGAGCAGAAAGAGCACCCCAGCATAGTCGGGGTGTAACTTCAACTCTTAAATTCCTACAGACCAAAGACTGAAACTTGTATTCGATGCCCAGGAGCAACACAAGTGAAAAGAGTTTTAATTCTGAAATCAGAGGAAAAAAGAAAGTGCAAGTCTAAGAGCTAAAGCATGGATAGTATCTTCCCTGTGCATCAGAAGTTTCGCTTGTGAACAAGAATGTTGTGCATGGTCCAACACAGGTCTGAGCATTATCGATATAGTTTTAAGGTGTCAGTAAGAAGAGGGAAACCCAGAACCAGAATAATATTTCTGGAATCATTCATTATGATTATGTAGGAAATCAGTTTTTTAAATCAGAAGTATGGCTGCTCAATATTATGTAAGAGCCATTATATGCTTTCATAAATTTGTTACAAATTGATTCTCCTTAATTTTTTAATTAAACTATGCTTTTATTTAGCATTGCAAGAAGCAAGTGAAAAATACATTTTAAAAATCAATTTTAAAAATGCAGTCAAGTGCTTAGTTCTGAAGATTCATGCTTTCATTTTGGAGGAATGGGATTTTGGTTGTTTTAATTGTCAAATTCCAGAACTATCATAAAACTACATAAAGCTGTCTTGATTTCTTGACTTAAGTGCATGGAAAAAAAAGAACTTCCATTCTGCATTTTGATTCTTTGGTCTAAAACCAGCAGGTTATTAGTTCATATTATTTAGTTTATTTATTTTGTAATTATGACTGATACACTGTAATCAGCCTGCTTTAAATTATCTTCTGAAGTCTCATAAATTAGATTGAATCCTATTTGCTTTTCTTTCTTAATACTGATATGAAAAAATAATTACATTTACAAAATAATTATCATGACACATTTAATAAAAAAGAAAATCTATAGGCAGGAGCATTATTTTCTTTATAATCTGTTATGTTCTTGTTTCCTCCTAGAGATACGCACAAAGTTCAATACTCAAAGATTAGATGAAATTTAGCTTTTACCACTACATCTAATTTGTGATCCAAACTGAATTATCCTCAGCTTAGCTTTGTTTGAAAACCTGTACGTTTACTCACTTCATCACGGTGTGCTGTTGGGTGGTAATATAATGCTGTACTGATTAGACTGAGGATGAGATTCTGTTAGACCTTGTAATGCTATTTAGCAACACGTGAATGGAAGTCCTCACAGCTCCTAAACACAGGTGATGTGAGGGTATT